TAAATGGTTTAAAGTGATTTCAACACAAATGTTGAAATTATCTCACACAGCTCATTCAGATTTGAGGTGTTTAATTTGGAAATTAAAGATGTGTTATGTCTTATCTTCAACCTTCAGATTCCTGTTTCAGTCTTCAGCTCTTAGTTTTATTATTTTAGAAGTAGTCTTTTCAGTGGAAGGTGGAGGAGCTGTAGGCATGAATTACCACGTAGAATCAAGATGCAGTGGCAGCAGTACAGACCTGGCTCTAATAAGAGGAGAATTGGGAATTTAATATTCCAGGTTATAAGAGATTCAGGGAAGATAAGCCAGGAGGAAGAAATAAGAGGTGGGGTTGTCTAACAATTAAATATACTTTTACAGCATTTGAAAAAGATTACAGATTTAAGGGTTTCAAAACAGAATTTGTTTGGCTCGAATGAAGGAGTGTTACACCACAGAATGCTAGAGGCCACCAAATAGTGGGTAGGAGATAGAGCAGCAAATCGCAGAAATGTGCACAACTACAGAACATTGCCAAAGGAAAACTACAGGAATCAAAACATCACTAGTAAAAAGATGTTTATTTTTTATGAGTATTATCAAACATAGTCAATGCTGAGAGGTTTAATATCTTTGTTTTCTTCAACAAATAAATCAATTTACAAATGAAGCAGGTTTAGAACCGGTAGAAAATGGCAAATAAAGGTATGTAGTCTCATTGTAATAAATTGCATTTTGAATTCAAGAAGACCTCCATTATTTATTCCTTGTAAACTTGAATCTGTCTCTGTTCATGTCATGAATTCCTTTTCCCCCACAGTACAAAGAAAGCACAGTGAAGTAAAAATAAGAGGGCAACGAGACTATCAAAGATTAGATTTGCAAGTAACAAAAGGGAAACACAAAGATCTTTTATAAATGTAAAAAAGAGACAATGCATAGGCGGGGCTGTTAGAGATCAGAAAGGAGATCTTTTGTAGGGGCAGAGAACACGTTTGACATCCTAAATGACTGCATCTGTCTTCACTAAAGATACTGCCAATGACAAATGAGAAAATAAACATTAATTTTATCCTATCCAGTTTCTTTACTAAAGAGCTGGCATTTGAAAGTTTGGCAACATGTACACCTTAGATTGCTTAGGGAAATAAGGATGGAAATTGTGAAAGCTCTGGCGGAAGATTGGAGGTTTGTATATATGACAAACACATTCAAAATAAAAGGAAGAAAGGTCAGCAACTGCAGGAGAAAAAGAAAGTCAGAAATCATAAACCATCTAGCCTAACATCTTTTGTTGGAAAAATGCTACAGTCCATTATTAAGGAAGAAATAGCAAGGCATTTAGAAAAGCATAATGCAATCAGAATCAATATAGTTTTATGAAAGAGAAATCATGTTTGTTTGTTATATGCCCAAAGAAATCTACAGAATTTGTCAAAGTTAATAATGGGGAACCAATAGATGTAGAATATTGGGATTTCCAGAAAGCATTCGATAAGGTGCTACATTGAAGGTTATGCAGTAGATAATACCTCATGGTATTGGGGGATAATGTATTACGATGGATCAAGTTTTGGTTAGCACATAGAAGACAGACAGCTAGGATTAGTGTGAGAGATAGTAGGAACTGCAGATGCTGGAGAATCCGAGACAACAAGGAGCAGGGCTGGATGAACACAGCAGGCCAAGATGCTGCTTGGCCTGCTGTGAGCCTCTCTGCTTCTATGATGCTGCTTGGCCTGCTGTGTTCATCCAGCCCTGCAGCTAGGATTAGTGAGTGTTTTTCAGGTTGGAAAAAATTAACAAGTAGAGTGCCATAAGGATTGATGCTAGGACCTCATATGCAATCTATATTAATGATCTGAAGGAAGGGCTAGAGTATAATGTATGCAAATTTGCTAACAATACAGAAATAGGTGGGAGCACATGTTGTGATGAGGACACAAGGAATCTGCAAGGGCATATAGATAGGTTGAGTGAGTGGTCAGAAAAACTTGGCAGAAAAACTAGGAAGACGTGAGGTCACACACTTTAGTAGGAAGAATCTATAGTTTAAATGAGGAGAGACTCAAAGAAAGGGCAGCACAGAAGGATTTCGGTGCTTT